GTGATTGCTCCTTCTAATTTTTTTTTCATATCTATAAATATGTCCATTAGCAATATGCCAGGACCTTTCAAATAATGCATTTCATCAAGAAGAAAAAGACTTACTTAATAACTGAAAGATTAGTTGTTTTCAAAATATCAGATCACCATGAGCTTTCACTCAATATTGTATTTCTTTGATTATTTGCCTTTAGCATCCCTCTGACACCTCCTTCCCCACCATTACACCACACGTACGCACACACTCAATTTTGACTATATGTGGTCATGAACATTAGTAGGATGGTAGCCTGGTCTTCATAACTTTGAGGCAACTGAAATGTTTGTAAAAATAACAATTTTAAAATATTTTTAACAGTACAGTAATCGTGTGAGCTAAAATGGCCCTACTGCCAGATGAATCCTCCTGGGTACCTTGTAGAGTAATTCCTGGCTTACCTCATTTTCTTTTCCCTGAAGTTACTCATGGGATTGTACCTGGTTTCTTTAACGGAATCACCCCTGACTACCTTACTGTAGCTGGTTCCTTCCTCAGTCAAGCTGAGTGAGAGCCTTCAGCTTCTTTGGCACTTTCACTCTTCTTGTTCCCTAATCTTTCTAGTCATTGTCATCAAATGGCCCTCAGTGTTGCCATCTGCAGTGCACTTCTACTCTGTCATCTCCCAAAGACCTGCCCTGATTCTGCTGCCTCACACGAGATCCCCTAAGACTCTTCCCTGGACTTGATACCAGTTGCCTTAACTTGCAGTTATCCTTCCCCTTTTCTTCAGTTTCTTCTTTTTAACTTTGATTCGTAGACATCCCGTTCTCTTTGACCATGTCCCTCTGTTTTCTATTCGATTTGCCAAAAAACATTATTCTCAAACCAGCTGTTAAGCCCTATCAAGTCATCTACTATGGTGCTGTTCTTAGAGAAATTCACTTTTCCAAGACCTTTACATATAGCACTTTCTAGAGTCTCCAAAAGATACATATCTCTTCCTGTTTCAAACTTCATGCTCCCATTAGACCTCAAACTTCTTTTTCCCTTAAAGCCTGAGCGATAACTGTAGTTATCCAAATAGAAATGATCAATGCATGTTGAACTACTGAAATTACCAGTTTAGGTTATCACACTCTCTTATTTCCTCAGTTTCTCATTTACTCATCCTCTTGCTTTTTCTCCCTTTCTGTCCACCTCGTCCAATTTAAATTCTATTATTATAGTTCTGTATTACCAAGATATCTTATACAGAGAGTAATAAGTTTCATCAACTGTGTGTGTGAAGAAAATTGTTTCCAACAGCTTATGTAGTATAGTAGGGCATTTTAAATGTTATTTCAGATCTATCAAATGTTCTTTGAGATATTCTTAACCATGAATCCCAGTCATCTCTTTTTAACAATTTCTGGAGAGCACAAATGATTATGAGAGCGTTTACATAGTAAAAGTTTACCAAGTGCATTTTTTGTGTGACTTTCTTTTTAAAAATGTTCCAATTCTTAATTTTAGCAGTGGGATGGTGCCTCTTCTGTAAACAGGATTTCAAGGAATTTAAATGTCTCAGACCAACATTTTCGGCATCATTCTACCTTGACACATTAAGTGGTTACAAAAATCATAAAGGGTGCTCTGACTATGGACTCTTTTTTCTTTTTCCTGGAGTAGGGGGTAGATGAACTTAAAATTTACTCCTGGAATAATTTAAATAAAAAGAGCTAAGCCTTCATGTTATTCCTTTATATACTTCACTTAGATAAACTTCTTCAGATTCTCCTTTCTTACTTAGCACACTCATGTTTTAAAATGGGTTAGCCTTAAGTTTACTGATGAATTTTCATTGCTTTTTTCCCCTAGAATCAAAGAGAAAATCAAAATGATTCTGTCCTGATTTCTTAATTATTTTCAACTTAAATGTTAAACTTTAATTGGACATTCATGAGAATGAAGTAATATGTACTCTGAATAATTTGGTAGAATTTTCTATTGCCATTTTAAAGGAGGCTTCTCCTTAGCTTACTGATC